GGCAAGAAATTAATTTAAAAATTAGAAAAATGGAATTAATTACAGACAAAAAAGTTAAGAATAATGATGACACGAAGGAAATTGAAAAATTAAAAAAGGAAATTGAAAAGGGTTATGAAAAAATTGAAAAACATGGTTAGTTGTGTAAAGGGTTGGTACAGAAATCGAGTAGAGAGCAGGCTGGATCTGGATCCAGACTTTGATTTTTCCTGGATCCAGAGTCCAGATCAAGGCATTTTTCAGAGTTCCATGATTTTTCCTTGGCTCAAGGTCAAGAATCTGATCAAGGTACCCAACCTAAACCAAAGTCAAGGTTTTTTGAAGACCTCGCTCTTTAAGATCCAAATGTTGGTACAGAAATCTGTACTTAATTTAGAGGACATAACCATCCATTTTACTTGGAATAATCAAATATTAATTTAAAAATTTTAGGGAGTACTAACCAAAATCCAATAGCTATACGGTTTTAAAATATTAAGAGATAACATTGGAATAACTCGAATTTGTTAGGGAATGTTATTCTTTATTCTAATGTTCTTTTAGAGTTTTTGGAGTCTTTTAAAATTACAATTATCTATAATTAATTTTGAATTTTTTAAGGAGACAGAAAAAATTTTTGCTTTCTTTAAAAAAATTTGGGTAATTAGGTATGTAATTATTTAAGAGATCTTGTCCCCATAAACTTTTCTCCAATTTTTCTTAATTTTATTAAAAAGTTTGAATATTCGTCTAGAAATTGGACATCTAAATTATAATTAAATAAATATATCTTAGAACCGGGTACCGCCGAGCTAGTTATAACTTTGTTCAAACTTGTCGAATTCGGGACGCCCTGATATGGTTCGATTCAGCTCATCGAGATGCATCGAACCGTGCCAGGACGTCCCGGATTCGATCACTTAGAACAAAGTTATAGCTCTTCGGTACGTTGGCCTGCTCCCTTCAAAATCTATGGCCAATAGGTCTTAGCTTATTGCATATCTCTATATTTTTATAATGAGACATGGAGACGAAAAGTTCCAAAGTCGTCAATTCAACAACCAAAAATCCCTTCTCCTTCCTAATTAAATTTTTAAAAAATTCCAGAAACATTTACCCTCCAATATGGTGTAAAAGAGGCAATATGGTTCTTCTACAAAATTGTCTATTTAACGGCAAATATAAATAAATTAATTGAAGAAAAAGAATTGAATGTTATAACGGCAATAATTAAAAATAAAAATATTTTGGATTTTTATAATTATATGTTGAAATACAATAAAAAAAGGTACTTTTCCGTTAATCAATTAACAGTAAACTGAGTATTAGTCGACTTTAAACAGCTACAACTTTTTGATGCTTGATCCAATAAAAATGAATTTTATATCATTCGAAAGCTCTCGATAAGCTCTATCTTTTACCCAATTGTATGGATCAGGTCTGATAACTCATAAAAAAGTTACAAGTCGATAAGTGCAAGAAATCGTTGTTTTCCACTATTATCGGGGTATAACTTTTTTATGAGACATCAGACCTGATCTATACAGTTGGGTAAAAGATAGAGCTTATCGTGAGCTTTCAAATGATATAAAATTCATTTTTATTGGATCAAGCAACAAAAAGTTATAGCTGTTCAAATTCGGCTGTTAAACAGTTTGCGGTCGATTAACGAAAAGTACCTAAAAAATTTTAAGAAATAAATTTTTTGAAAATGAGGGAAAGAGTTGGTTTGAAATTTTGGAGAATAAAGGAAAGGAAATTTTGGAAAAAATTTTGACTTTATTAACACTAAATGATGTTGATATAAATCATTATAAAGAATTAAAAATTAATTTAATTACAACATTCAAATTGAGAGGAATTTTGGAAATTTATAAAATTTTGGCTAAAAAATTTAATTATTTTAATGAAAAGTATGAAAATATAATTGAGGAATTAATTGATGATTTGGAAAGTTTTGAATACATTTATGGGGATAATTTTGGTAATTTTTTGAAGTCATTTTTTGAATTAGCCAGATTAATTTGTAAACCTCTAGACTCTTGTTTTCGCTTGCGGTGCAAGAAATTTCAGGCTTAATAGCCTTCCAAAATTCTTAAATTTTCTAACATATTATACAACATATGTAGTGGCATTGCTCCTCACTGAAAATTATTCCCGAAGCCTTCTTTGTCACCAGACAGTCTTCACTAATTTAATAAAAATTTCGGTTCCGATTCCGGACATCCAAAAATTTTTAAGTAACCGTCAACACTAAATGTAATTATGAGGGGTTCCGTGACTTTTGCGCCGCGACTTAATCGCCGAGCGACTTTTGCGCCGAACAAATTCCACATCTTCATTTATTTACTAAACCTTTTGGTTATACAAATGTGGGCGCGTGGCGCAACGGATAACGCGTCGGTCTACGGAACCGAAGATTGCAGGTTCGAATCCTGCCGTGCTCGAATAATTTTTTAGTGTTTTATTTAAGCTTCTTCAAAGTTTAGAAAAATTGTTTTAACATTTTTTCCCTCCAACATTTTTTTCTACAAAAATTTATACAGAAGAGGTGGCATTAAGACCCCCTAGTGTTCTATTGGGAAATTCATTTGAGCCTTCAGGGTTAAATTTAACCCAATACCTGTTCACATCAATAACATTAAATCCGATAAGAATCTCTTTATCCAATAAGTTATAGGAATTATAAGAATGGGATTATTTATAGGGTTGGGGTTTTCGAGTTGGGCCGACGTTCGAGTCATTTTTTTCGGGCCTACCCGACCGAGTCTTTTTCGAGACAAAATTCAATGCCGACTCGATCTTTCGGACCGGGCCGGATCGGACCCCCAACCTTAACTATTTAGTTAGATGAGAAAAAGATGAATAGAAAGTACTAATATTTTAATTTTAAGATGTTAAAGAAATTAAAGAAACTATAAAGACAAATGGGACTGAAGTAATTAAAGAATTTATTGAAAATAAGGTTGAAATTGAAATTATTAAAGTTTCAATAAATGAAAGTAAAAATTATATAGTTGATTTAAATATTAAAAAAGTTGAGGATTGGCTTGAGAAGAAAATGAATAAAACAAAAAATTAAAAGACGAGAAGAATTATTTTAAAAGAAAATTATTTTTGATATTTAAAAAAAATTCCGCCTATTCGAACAAATGTCATTCGAAAGGGCTCCTCGAGCAGAGTCGAATGACACCAAATTTGGCTTCTGGATTCATCTATGGACCGAGATATAGGGCTCGAAATGCTCAGACCATAGGGAAGCTGATTTTTGGTATCTCGACCCATAAGTAAGTTCGGAAGCTAATTTGGCTCTACTACTGTTTATGAGTCCAATTACACTCTATAAGTCCAATGAAAAGTTTATGAGTCCAATCAGATTTTTGTGAGTTACGGGGTAGGTTGGCAGATCAAGGCTGAAAATGGGAAAAAGAGATAGAAATATATTACTAGATTGGAATCCAACGACCGTTGAAAACGGTCAACGCTCAAAATGGTCAACGCAAACCTATTGAACTGATAAAATATCATTGGACTCATAAACTTTTCATTGGACTAATAAAGTCTGATAAACTGCATTAAAGCCTCTAATTTTGGTGCCGTTCAACTAATTTCGTCGAGCTCTTTCGAATGGCATATTGCATGTCCGAATTGGGGTAAGGTAGATGATATAACGGAATTTTACCTATATTTTATTTAACACAAATTTTTAGATAAATATTTTCAGTGTATTGTGAAAAAGCGTAAAAAACAAAAAATATACCAAGTTTAAAAGTGTTTTCCCTTTCACATTAAATAAAAAAATTTAAAATAAAATACACGAAGATTAGTATGCGAGGGTTTCTCGAAATATCCAAAATGGAATTCTTAAAGTTAAAAATTAGGAAAAAAATAAAAATTACTAGGGTTGCTTTTTATTGTTAGTTATAAAATGCGCAGCCTTTTATTAGTTCGATTGTTAGTTGTTATGCTTTCACCTAGTCTACTAGCGGGCGGTATAGTTTATTCATCTGTTATTCTTGTATTATGATAAAGCAATGTTGTCAGCCAAATCTCTTATGTTTGCATTCGGATACACCGAAAGTGTCCGAATACCAGCAAAACAAGGAGGTATTAAATTGATTCGACCGGACTAATTTTCGTACTAGGCTCAAAATTGGACAATTTATATGGTAATCGAAAGAGCTCACCGAGCTGAGTCGAATTAGCCCGCGGACTCATATATGAGCCATGCACGACCGCAGCGAAGCAATGGTCATCGTACAGCTAAGACCATGCCCGAACGGAAAATGTAGTTTAGTCGAAGCTCCTTTGAGGTGTATATACATATACTCGTATGAAGGTAAACTCTTTTACACAAATTAAAATTGTAGACGAAACAAGAATTATCAGATTGCTTCCCCAATTCATAATATTATTCACAGAAATAAATACGTAATATTTCTACAGTACTTTTGGAGCTTTTAAACGAATTACCCTTTCCATTGACTCTTATTGACATTTTGTCCATTTCCCTTTTTTGGTGTTTTGTATCACAATAGTTTGTATTTTTGTCTCTCTCAAAATACCCTTATCTATATTTATTTTCATTTCTCTACCAACTTTGCTTAAAAGCTTCTCTTTCCTTATTTTCTCTATAGCTTATATTGGGTACTGCCCAAAACGGCGCACGGCCATAAAGGCGCAAAGCCATAATTTGGTGGAAAATGACTTAATCTTATTAAGTTTAGTACCAATCTCTTTAGCTCGATGAGAGGAAGCGTTTAATACTAAAATTGGAAAGATTCGGAAATCTTGAAGCAAGTTATGGCTTTGCGCCGTTATAGCCTCGCGCCGGCGTGTCCCCTTATATTTTTTGTTAGACCAGTCGATTTTTCTCAAACATCAAAAGAAGCGGCGGCGTTTTTTCTTTTTGGATATGTTTTTTTGTTGCGCATTTTGGAATGTTTTGAAGCCTTTATTGAATTTATTTTTTAATTTTTAGGTTTTTTATTGGCCAAAATTTATTTTTAAAATTAAAAAAAAATGAAGCTTCGCTCAAAAACTTGTAATACTTCTTCTTCAAGAATGTCAGTTTCTAGCCAAAAATCAGTTGTTAATTCGCCTAATAAAGACACAAACGTTAAAACTGGGACGAGGTTAGCTTTAATTTTTTTGTTGTTTGAATTTTATGGAGGGGGGGGGGTGTCGGGCTAACTCGCGAAACGGACAAGTCACGGAACGACACTCACGAATGACCAGAACTCGGAATAATTTAATATTCGAAATTTTTTGAAAAATCTTTTTAACAAATAACAGAATTATAAAAATTTTGATTTTTAAAGTATTCCGTGTTTTGTTTTCCATGAAATGGTCGTCCCTCCAAGTGGGAGGCATGTTTGGGATAATTTTAAGATTTTTGATTCCCGGGGTCCAAAATCTTACTTTTTTAATTTTTTTGAATTTATAAAACTTTCAATGACTATCATGTGATTTAAATATTTTTTGTTTTAAATTTTGCTAAAATCTGGACTTTCTAGCTTCCTTTTTTTAATCAAGTTTTTTAAATACATGTGTTTTTTACTTGTGTTTGTGCTTGTAGAAATAATTCGAATAAAATTTAAATTAACCTGTCACTGGGTTGTAAATGAGTGTGCTTTGGTACCTTTCCATAACAATTCTTTTCAATCACCCATACAACAAATTATTTAGCATTAAAATTATGTATAATAACTATCCATAATTTTTTTATTTTATCAAAAGTATGTATGATTAGGGGCCGCGAGATCGAATCGGGCATTGAATTTTGGCCCGAAAGAGCCTCGGTCGAGCCGGCCCGAAAAAGTGGCTCGAAAAAATGCAGCCCAAAACCCCAACTCTAATCAAAAGGACTTATTCATTATTTCTTTCTCAAAATTTTTTTTAATTTTAGGCAGGAACACCAAAAAGACGAATTACTTTCCTCACTTCCCTCCACTTCAAAATCTGCCCCTCAACTTGCTTCAACGCCCCTTTCAATTTATGGAACTAGAAGGAGTAGCACAGCCTCTACAGAATTCTCACCTGACTCTCCAGGCTTTGGAAGAGTGGCGAAAAGCAATGCTCGTCTTTTGAATGGTTAGGATTGGATTAGGCATTAAAAACCTGGGGCGTAGCTAGAGGGTCGATTTCAGGGGGGGGGACTAAAATTGGGTGTCGCCAAAATTTTGGCTTTTAAGACCTTTGTTGTTCAAAACTGAAATTTTTGCCTACCTATATAATTATTCTTAAATGCTGGAGGCAATTGGATGGTCCTTCCAATATTTTCCCTGGGAGGGAAAAGGAGTTCAATCCCATTAGATACGCTCTTTTGTTGGATGCATAGAAATTTAGAGCATTGGACGTATATTTTAAACAAGAGCCATAAATTGTGATTAGTTTTCTTTTTTACTGTCAATCATTTTATTCAAACATTTTAAGTAAAGGACAAATTATTAGGAGGGAAAAACAAACGGCAAAATCGACCTAACCGCAAAATCTTCATTTATAAACAAGCAAATTTGGCCATTCCGAGACATGAGAGACTCAAATAGGAGTAGGGCGGGATTTTAATAAAGTACAAAAATTTTGATTAAAATTCATTTAGAATAATTATTCTATTAGTATTTTTGAGTTGAAAGAAAATTTTAAAGATTTTTCAAATTTTCTTTGAGGCCTCTCAATTCAAAAACAAACCAAAATTATTATTTCTAATTTTCAGGACTTGATTTAACCAGAAAAAGCGGTGGAAGCTCTTCATATTTAGGCACAGCTGTAGTTTTGCCAGAATTAAAAACATTCGAACTTTCTGAGAAATGTTCAACACTTTCAAAACTTTTAAAAACTTGTGGAAATGGAGTTTCTGATTCTGCTAGGAAATTGGGGGTTGAACAACAATTGGTTTGGAATTTTTTTTTAATAAAAATAATAGAAATTATTTTTCTATTGGTATCCCCAAAATCTTTTCAAAATTTTAATTAAAAATTTTTGAAATTTTAAATTAATTTTTAATAAAAAAAGTTTTTCGAATTTTTAATTCAAGGATAATTATTAAAGTAAATTACATCTTACAAGGAACCCTTTCGAACGTAAGTCATGATGTTGTACTTTTTTGATACCAATCAATAGAGCATTATTGATTTACTCTTGTAGATTTCCGGCTTTTTTAGCTAGGAATATGAACCTAAAAAGTTACAGGGCTTCAAAGTTTGCCAAAAATGTGGGAGAAAAGGAACACAAGAGGTCAGGTCCGTAGCCAGGGGGGATCCAAATTTTCAAAATTTTCCACCGAAAAAAATTCTGGCTACGGTCCTGCAAGAGATTCTTACAGTTCGAAAGGTTTCCTTGTTAGTTTTTAGAAAATAAGTTAGAAAATCCTTTTTAAATTATTCTTAAACAGAATTTTTTGTCTAAATTAGGACCTAACCTAAAATAATAATAAATAATTTTCGGAGTTCTTTGAGTCTTCTAAAAAATTTTTTTCGCTCTCCAATAATTCAAAAATTTTTAAAAATATTTTCTAAAATTATTTTTTTTCTAAATTTTAGGAAATTTTTTATTTAAATTAAATTCAATATTTGCACTTAAAATTTCCTCTCATTTCCAGACAATTTTAAATAATTTTTATTAATTGATTGCTTACGCTTTTTTAAATAAAAATCGAAGGAAACGTTTCATTCCCCCCCAATTTTTTGCCATTTTTCTTTTTTTTTTTTTAAATTTTCTATTAAAATTTAAAAATTATTTTTATTTATTCCGAGGGTTTTTTAAAATTTATTTTTCAAAAATTCATTATGGATATATTGGTGAAGATTTTTAAATTTGTTTTTTTTAATAATTGAAAGTTTTTTTAAATTTATTAAAGTCCCTAACGATTTTTAAATTAAAAATTTTTATATGGGAACTAAAGATCGAGATTTTTGAAACGTCTGAGTCTGTTCCTGGACTTTGGCGTTTGATTTATTGCCCTGGGCCGGATCCTGGTCTGTAATCCAGGAAAACCCCAGGAAAGTCAAAAAATGCCTGGACCTGGACTGTGGGTACAGGAAGTTCAGACCCAGCTCGATCTCTAATGGGAACATTTTTTAAATAATTAATATCCCCTTTGATCTCGAAGAATTTTGAATTTCTTCTATTCATTCCCTTTATTCAATTAAAAATTATTTTTCCTTTACAATTCTTTTATTTTTTAATATTTAATTTTTTTCTAATTCCTTTCAATCCTTTATTTTTCCAAAATCCAATAAAATATCCCCAAAATTATACCGCATATTTATTCTAATAGAAGGGCCCCTCCAATAGAATGGCCCCTGTTTGGGGGTAATAAAAAATATAATTGTGGCCATTCTATTAGAATAAATATATTTTTGACTTGCTAACCTTTTGGGAGCTTATTTTTTTTAATTTTTAGACATCTCTTCAATTCGAATTAGAAGAGCTTTGTGCCCAAAATATAGATTATCAGAGCACAATTCACGGAGAAATAACCTATTTAACAACAGGGGAATACCCAACAGTTAATTTACAAAATCGTCCTTTGCCTATATTTTGTTGTGTTGGGAAGGAGGAAATGCAAAAATTGGCAGAACGAGTAAAAAGATCTGTCCCAACACCAACAACATCTATGAGGTTTTTAATTGGGTGAATAGGAGGAGGGGGAGGGAGTGGAGAGGGGGGTTGAAATTTTGGTAAATGTAGAGAACAGACCATTTAAATGGTCAAAAAAAATTTTTTTATGAACCTAAAAAACGGTCGAGACCGGGCTCATGCAATAGAGAATGTGCCCTTTCTAGCAAGGATTTTGAGCCGTTTTTGGCCGTTTTTTGAACTGGCCGAGATATGGCCCTCCAAAGTCCCAAAATTTGGTTGTCAGAATTAAGAATTATATAAATAATAAAAAATAAATTCTGAAAATATTAAAAAATATTAAAATTCATTATGTCTTGAAATTTTTACACAAAAATAAAGAAAAAAATATTTTATTTTTTACTAGTAGCCTACATTAAAAGTTTAGCCTAGAAAACCATCTTTTCTCTTTTTATATTTAGCTTTAGTTCTAGAAAGAAATAAATTGTGGGCTCTTCTTAAGTTTTATTTCTGACAGAAGAAATGTGGGCGCGTGGCGCAACGGATAACGCGTCGGTCTACGGAACCGAAGATTGCAGGTTCGAATCCTGCCGTGCTCGAACAATTTTTTAATGTTTATTTAAGCTTCTACAAAGTTTAGAAAAATTATTTTTACAATTTTTTTGATCCAAAAAATTTTTATTTTATGTCTAGACCTGGGAAATATTCAAAAATTAATTTTTTGATAAATAATTTTTTATTTTTTTCAGTCTAACCGATCTTGGCATTTTTTCTTCGCCTGAAGATGATGAGACTCCACATATTTTAGATGTTCCGCATCGCTTTTGGACTTGGGCTAAAGAGTTTGGAAATTAATTATTTTTATTTTTAAACTTTAATTTAAGGTATTTACGACATATTTCTTTGGATTATGTGAATGAATACAAAGAAAAAATGCTTGATCGCTTCTCAGAAGAAAATATTATTGGAAATTATTGTTCGCAAAATATTGAAAAAGGCGGTATAAAAATTTTAAAATTTTTTTGGGAATACAATCGAACCTTCTTCTTAGATATCCATGAAATTAGTACACCTTTATATTACTATATTAGATCCGTCTTTAAAATTAGTGGTAGGGAGGGGGCTGAGGGGGGTATCAGGCTAACAAGGGAATATTCCTAACTGTATGTAAAAATTTTGAAAAATTTTTTGCGCCCATCGTGTAGAGCAGGGTCGATAACCTATTGCAAGTTTTTGGTTTCTTTCCTCATGGCAATAGGTTTCTTTCCTCCTGCTCTACACGATTTTACAAAAAAAAATTTTCGAAATTTTTACAAGCAGTTTGGAATGTTCCCTTGAAGACAAAGTCCGGAATCCAGACAAAACACAGTCCAAAGAGAAAAACATCTATTGGGGGGTTATTTGGGCGCGACGGATATTGACTTAAATACTTGAGGCGAACTGCAATAAAAATTCAAAATATTTTTTAGCTTCCACTTCATCTACTTCCCAACAACAATCTTCAAAATCTCTTCCCAGCATAACTTCAGCAATTTCTGAAAAATCTTCAAAAAAGCGAAAAAGAGTTTTATCAACTAGTGAATCTTCTTCTGAGTCATCTGCCTCAATTTGTATAACTCCGTTAAAAAATTTTTATTCCGAAAGAGGGCCGAAAGGACGTTTTAAAAAGCGAAGTGATTCTTTCAAGTCCAATGAGGAAATAACTACACCCTCTTTTGAACAAAATTTTAGAGGAAGAGCAATTTCGTTTCATGTTGGAAGTAATAAATTAGAGAAAGGACCAAGTTTGTGATTTTTATTTTTTATCTCAGAAAAATAAAAAGGGGTTTAAAGGGTTCTTAAAAAGGGGGTTAAGGGGCCCTCTCCGTGACCGCTTTAGTGATGTTCTCGAATTTTATTTGGGTTAACGCTCACGGAGAAAATTTTGGGAGCAGGGGGAACTGACCGAGGGGCCAAGATACCGCCGAGCTTTAACTTTTTTTAAAGATTTTCAAATCCTGGACGCGCTGGTATGTTTCATTGCAGCTCGGCGAGCTGTTTCGAAGCATACCAGGTCGTCCCGGATTTGACAATTTTGAATGAAGTTATAGCTCGGCAGTTTTTACTCTGCGGACTTGGTCTCGCGTTACGTTTGGGGTAATCGAAAATTTTTGCTTAAGGTCCTCCAAAAATTTTCCCCGTTCAAAATTCCAATTTTCACTTCTAAAAAATTTTTTTCAGCCTCAAAAGCTTTGTCTTCCTCGCAAAAAGAAATACTTGTAGATATTGACTGTTCTTCTTTAATTACGCCTAAACTTGTTCCAAATGGATTACATCCACGTTTAAACAGTTTAAATAAAAATACAAATTTAAGTAATGGAATTATAGGCAACAAATCATCCCAGAATGGAGGAAAACAGCAAAAACAATTGAGAAAAGGCACTCCAATAATTAAAAAACAAAAATCAAAAAATAAAATTTTTGGAAAATCTGAGAGCAATTTAAAAAATTGTTTTAAATTAATGAGTGAAGAAGATGATGATTTTGATGAAGAGGAAGAAGATAAGGAAGAAATTGTTGCTGAAGAGGAGGAGGAGGAGGATGGGGAGGAATTGATGGAAAAATCAATGAGGGGAGTGAATGGGAATAATGGAACAAATGACCGAAAACATTGGACAAAATCATCAACGGCGACAACTTCGAATGATAAAGACGTTTGGATTTTATAAATTATTATTTTATTTTTAAAGGAATACACCTTTTTTAAGAGGGATACCTTTTTTGAAAACCCCATTGAGGCTGAAAAATCATCCTTATACTGAAGGGCACTTTCATGCTGATGAAGAAGGGTACTTTCTAGATCTTAGAAGCTCCCCCAAAATTTAGGAAAAATCTGAATTTGATGTGTTTCTAGAAGGATTGGGAGGGAGGGGAGGATAGATAATAACGTAGTTTGATTATATGATAGAATTGGTTAATAGGGTTGGTCCCCGTCGTTGAGAGGGAGGGCTACGGGGAAAGTTTTTTGAGAAGGCAGCGCTACAGGGGAGAGGACGGGGAATTTTCAAAAAATATCTCAAATTCCCCAACAAATTCCCAACGGGGACCAGCCCTATTTGTTAATAATCCAAAACATTGTTTCTCGTTTTGGCTTTTATTGTAAATATTTTTTAAAAATTTCTGTGAGTTGTCAGTTGATTAGAATTTCAAACAAATTAAATTTTCTCTAAAAATTTTCAGCCAGACAACGAAATTTCTGTATTACTACGAAAAAAGCAAGAACGCCTCCGTGAATTATTTTATAAAAGTCGACCGACTATAGAAACCTTGTATGCTCGTGTGTTGAAAGAATATGCAGTTCATGAAGCTATACATAAAATGGATGAAGCTGATAATAAGGTTTTTTGAAATTAAAAATTTTTTTTTGGCTCTTCCAGGGGTTCTAAATATTTTTTCTTGACTTTTTCTTAATAAATTGAAAGAAATAAATGGACAATATCACTCAAATTAGTCTAGCCTCCTCCTATTTTCAAGCCTAATTTTATTTGGCGCTGTTCTAGTTTATGCGTCCAATCAAAATTAAATTGGATTTTTCTTGGTACCGACTATAGAAACGTTGTATACTCGATGGGGAATAAATAAGTAATACCAAGAAAAATCCAATTTTATTTTGATTGGACGCACAAAAGTTCATTGGACGCATAAATTAGACCAGCGCATTTTAGTTTTATAGGTCAGTCTTGTATTTACTTTTCTAAATTTAAATATTTTTTGAATCAAGCATATTTTTTTGTGGGATATATGAGGAATAAATAACCATTAACTGTGACTATCTCGTATAATTTTTTGACACCTTTCTATTCTCGAATTCGTTTCCTAATTCCATTCCCCCTTGGCCCTCTTCGGAAAAGAATCATGGTTGCGGGCCTGATTCCATTCATTTTCTTTAACTTGCCGATTCCATTTTTGCTTAACTTAGGATGTGTCTGTTTCTAACGTAAAATTTACGGTTTTGGATTATCGGTTAGAACCAGGGATGTTACGGGTTACCCGAAACGGGTGTTTTTCTCGACCTGATACCCGAAACTCGACCCGAAGAAAATTTTGAAAACCCGACCCGACATATTTCTCAACCTGTGACATCCCTGGTTAGAACCGAAGAACTGTCATTAAATTATTCCAAAATTATTTTTTTCATTAAATTTTACAGCTTTACAAAATCGCTTCAAAATTTGAGAATACCACAACTTCATTAAATCCTGAACAAAGACAAGAAATGCAAGCAGCATTGAAAGAGCATAATATTCAATATGCTTCATTTCATGGACTTAAAAAGTGAAAAAGGAAAGAGAAAAAGTTGCAATTTTTTAAAAAATATCAGTGCTTTCTAGTATATTTAATTCAACGAGAGATTGTTTTTTAAGATGAATTTGAATATATTATTGTGTTTAACGTGTTTTCTTTTTATTTATAAAATTGGGATATTGCCAGCCAATTTTTATATTTTTTATTGAGGGGAGGCCGGGGATGGTTATTTTGTGTTGGTTACTTAAAAAGTGAAAGGAATGGCAGAAAATAGCTGTCCAAACTGCTAGCAAAGCAACTGATCGTTTTTGATTAAATTAGACGTGCACAAGATTAACGTTTATCCAATGTAGAAATGTAACATAGGCGAAGGGATGGGAGAGCTGGAACAGACGAAGGAGATCAGTGACTAGCCACGCAAATATGACCCAACTAGACTGACGCTTTCACTGACTTTTATACTATAGCGATACCACTACACAACAGTTTTAGTAGTTCAAGTCCAGTCAACCATCAATTTTTGTTTGTACGACTCTGCTCGACGAGCTTTTTGAACGCTAATTTAATTAAAAATCCACTAGTTAGGCACCAAAGATTGTCCTTTAAAAGTCTAATTATCCGAAAATTTTTAAAAATTTATTTACTTTCTGACTTGTTCAGACGGATGAAGCTTCTAATGAGTAGAGTTGGTCCCCGACGGGGAGGGGCACGGGGAAAATTTTTCGGGGAGGCAGCGCCACGGGGAGGGGGACGGGGTCAACCCTACTAATGAGACTAACACAAATTAGAGATTGAAGAATATTTTATTCTCAAAAAATAAAATCCAAAAAAATGTTTTTAAATTAATTATTGCCTTTAAACAATTTCTTTTGTAACTATTCTGCTTACAATTAAATCGCTCATCGAAATTCCGTTAACATCTAATTCTGGCAATTGATAAATCTGAAAAAATAAATTTTAAAAAATAGAATAAAACTTTAAATAATTTAGAGAAGGAACTTTATAAAAGAAGGATCAACTGGGGGATTTAACAAAGAGATTTTGGGGAAACAAAATATAATATAGACAATTTTCGAAAATTTTAATTAGGAGAATTTGGAGGGGTAGGGGTATACCAGGGATGGGCCGGATCGACGATTGCAGGTTTGTAATTTTGCCCACCAAAAATAAGAAAAGATCAACTGGTTTAAAAGCCTAGGATTATTTTAGGTTAGAAAATAATCTACTCCATATACACTTTTTCAAATTAATTCCATACATAAAAAATGAGAAAATTTCAACCGTAATTGTCGACCCGACCCATCCTTGTTGTGTACCAGGGGTGTGCCAGTTTCGCGTTTCGCCTTTCGCGGATTTTCGCGTTTTTTGGACTTTCGCGTTTCGCGTGTCGCTTTTTTAAATTTACTTTCACATTTCGCGTTTCGCTTTTTGCGCGAAACGCGAAAGTTTTATACACCCCTAAAGATGGTTAAGTTGGAGAAAAAAATAAGGCCCGAATAAATTGAAAACCTCCAAAATTCTCAAAATTTTCGCCTGCGGCGCTGAAAAGGAAGAAATCTGGCTTATTGGTCTTACAAGATCCCCTTAATTTTCGTCTGCGGCGTTTAAGAAAAGATTTTTGGCTTAAGGATCTACCAAAATTCTCAAAATTCTCGCCTGCGGCGCTGAAAAAAGAAGATGTTTAGCATAAGGATCTTCCAAAATTCTCTGAAAAAGGAAGAAGTCTGGCTCCTTGGCCTTACAAAAATTCTCAAAATTTTCGCCTGCGGCGCTGAAAAAGGAAGAACCTTGCCATAGGTTTATCTCCCCCTATTCCGCAGATTCTCGATATGCTACGAGTCCATCATCACTCAAATCCTCCATATTCTCCGGAATTTACCCAAATACAACGGTGTCCCTCTTAATCCACCCAAATCTCAAAACAAAAATCCACCAAAATACCACTTCTACGGAAATGTTTTGGAAGCGAGGTTAGTATATTTTGGAAGCGACCTTAGTATATCCTAAAATATAGAATATAAAATAAAGGATGGAACCTGGCTTATGTCTGATATTCCCTCAAATCCCTTGATATACCGGATGCGCATCGAAATCCTAATGGGGATTGTAAGAGTCAGTTGGGGCTGTGATTCGCAACAAATCACTGAGTTGACAAATCTCTAGAGATTTCTTATCATATAGTAAAAATTTTAAGAATTTCGCGTTTCGCGTTTCGCATTTCGCGGATTTTCGCGTTTTTTGGACTTTCGCGTTTCGCGTGTCGCTTTTTTAAATTTACTTTCGCCTTTCGCGTTTCACTTTTTAAATTTAATTTCGCCTTTCGCGTTTCGCATTTTAAAATCCGTTTCGGCACACCCCTGTTGTGTACAGTGAATAGAGAGAGATGTTAGGTACAATAAATTCCTCTTTAGCCGAAAAGACTCGAAATTGTACAAGTTAATTGTATTAAAATTAGTTGTAATTTTTGGCAGAAAATATCAGTCGTGCATAATCCTAATTAATAGAGACCGGCTATATATGGAGAGACGAAATCCAAACGGGATTTTGCGGGATCCCGGATTTTTTTTGATTTTCGGGATCATTTGGGATCCGGCATTTTTTCGGGATTTATCCCTCGGGATCCCGTCCCGGCATCGGTTAAGAAAAAAAATCACGACTCGGGATCCTGGAAATGCGATTTTGCCGGTCTCAACCAATTAAAACATTATCCATCCCCAACCTGTTTAATCGACCCCAAATCAGAAATTTCTCGAAGTAATTCAAAAGACACAGGGGTGCCTTTAATCCTTTTAGCTATTGATATCATTTTCTTTCCTTTAACATCATCAAAAATAGCAACAACCAGGGATTGGCTATTTTCGGCTATTCCAAAAGCTGAAAATTTTTAATTTAAAAAATTAAAAATTTTTAAAAAGGGAAAAATATTTTTGTAAATAAATTCTCCGAATATTCTCTCAAAAGGTCAATTTTTATTTTGATTAGAATAGAGACATGAATTTTTAAAAATTAATTTGGTTAACGAACGGTTTTAGATAATCAAAAATTTTAAATTTATTTTAAATTTCAGTCTCTGGTCAAATACTGAATGAATTTCAAGGGCGTATCCAGGGGGTTGATTTCAGGGGAGTAAAGCAGCTGGGATATAGCTATTTCTCTCCTTCAGCTAGTGCAAAAGGTTATTCGGCGGCTCGGAGGGAACCAGCATCTTCAGTAGACCGGACTGATGTGTTAGCCATTACACTACGCCGCCTACTGCTCAGCCTTAGGAAATTAATAGCTATATGCTTTACAGGGGATAAATGAGTGTTCGTTCCTAATGCAAATTTTATTGTGCACAAGAATTTTGAGGGTCGTAAACAAGAAAATTTCATTTTTCCTATAATCTTTCTTCCAATATTTTTCTCTTTTCCCCTTGACCTAAACAAATCCAGAAAAAAGTTGAAACTAAAAAAAATTTAAAATCTTTTGAGGCTCAGAAGGTGATCAAAACCGGGACTTAATGAGAAATTAAAAAAACTAATAATTTCCAGAAATTATTAACCAATTAATTTTTTCCTTGGGAAATAAAAAAATTTTTTTCGATTTTAAGTCCTATGAATTTTTAAAAATATTAAAAAATCCCAACTATTTAAAGAATCAGAAATATTTCGATTTGGAGACAAAGAATAAATTAATTCGGCACTCAGAGAGCGTGTAATCATTCGATTATGGGCTGCTTGATGGACTGCTCTATTTGCTGCGGCTAATAAAACAAAGGGTTCGAGAAGCTTAAAAATTTTTTTTTTTGAAAAAATAATTTTGGAAATTTAAATTTAAACCAATTCTGCACGAATTAAGGCTGCGTCAATTTCGCCTTTTCTAACAAATTCTCTCAATTCAGAAGCATTTTCAACATTTGTAAACTTGAAAAAAAAACAAATTTTTAGTCGAGGAAAGACTCATAAATTTAAAAATACATGGGCTCTGAGGATAAGAAAACTAGGGAAAAATCGAAAATTCGGGGATTCCATAACTGATTTTTTTTTTCAAAATGTCTAAAAGGAACAGTACCCCTACAGGAAAATTTTTTTCTAATTTTTTAAATTTTTTTAATAAAAATTTTTTCCCTCTTTTTTCGGGTATACCCAAGCCGCAAGCCCGACCTACCG